GTATCTTATTTTGTTTGAGATCATGAATATCCTTTCATTTTAAATTATTAAATGTTGTATTTCTATTAGATACATTAAATAAGAAAGTATTGCCCATAAGATTTTAAGTTTGAGATTGATACATTATTGTTTGGTAATTGTTATGTATCAGATACATTTAGTATAAATTTGAATTTACGTATCATAACTAAAAATTAGTGTATGATACATTATTATTTATGTATCTTATTTTGTTTGAGAAATACTATTATTTTAAAATAAAAAAAATACATTATACATGTAATTGTTTCAAAATAGCTTCATTTTTGTGTGTGTGATAAATAACACAGTTAATGTATCAAGTACATTTCTATTGAACATGATAAACACTAATAAAAGATTCAACAACATTAGAGTTATGTATCAATACCTTAAATATGAACAATATACATTGCATAAAACAAATGTTACTGTAGCAGTGATGTATCAGATCAATGATAACACTAACAAAGATTAATTTAAGACTCAAAATAAACGAGATACATTAAAAATTTGTATCTTTGATAGTGATGGTCGTGCTATGGCAGATCCCACTTTCTTCTTCTTCTTTTTTTGGATGTTTTTCAATAGTAGAAACATTAAAAGAAAAATATTTTTTCAAGAAAAATTTTCAACGACAATATGATTAACTAAAATTGCAAAGGTTCAATAAGATTTCAATGAGGGCAGGGGACGGAGGTAATTTTTTTTTTATTTTTAAGATGAAAAAATTAAAAAATAATAATAAAAGAAATAAAAAATTAAAGTGATGGAAAGAAATCTACTTCTTGAATAATTTGAAATAGAAAAAATTTGAAATTCAAAAATAGATTAATTGATAAACTTGAGAGAGACACCTTCTGAAAATCAAAATGAATTTGAATTTTGTAACTGCTAAAGAAGTGTAGAGAACGTAGGGATAAAATGGAGGAGTGAAATGGGGAGTGGGAAATGCGGGTGTAGGCTGAAAATAGGAGTGAAACATTTATGTATCCGGAAGATTTTATGAATTGGGTGAATTAAGGGATTTTTGAATTTTTTAAAAAAGGTAGGGATAAATGGATATTAAGATAAGTAAATGTGTGTATATAAGTAATTTTCCCTAAATATAAATATATAGTAGAAAGTTTTCGTTGGAATCGAACTATGGAAATTTTCTTTGAAATCAAATATAAAAAGTTTTGAAAATTTTTGTATCTACAAATTATGATAAGTTTCCATTGGAATTAAATTATGAAAAATTTCGTTTGGAATCAAATATGGAAAGTTTTGAAAAACTTCCTACATATGTATGGAAAAAAAAAACTATAGTTGAAACCAAATTTTAGTATATTTCCATTGGAACCAATTTGTGGAAAATTTCCTTCAAATCAAATATGACAAATTTTGGAAAATCTTCTATATACGTATGAGAAGCGACCTAGAAGGGCTAGATTTATGTAAGGAGGATTTGAAGTCCTTATACTTTCTTCAAGTGATCAAACAAATTTAGAGGAGAACCTATTGTAAGAGCATCCAACATCAAGAAAAGCAATACCTAATACTTGTGCCGAAATCATGAGCTTTCATATCACCAGATCAAGTTTGTAGATACAATTCTTGCTCTCAAAATTGACAGTCATTTTATAGTTGATGACCCGAATACAATTATTAAACAACAAAGAAGTACCACACAATAATTCTCCATTTATAAGCTGGAAACACTTCAAACTAAAAAATAAATTGGCAAATGATCAAAAGTCTAGTAATCTCTTACAAGTTAGAGAATGATGCCAGAAAGATTGTGGTATGTGTTAACCTCAACAAATCATCAAAGTCATTTCTAATGGAAGTTTCAAATGTTTCGCCAGAAATCAACTATGAAAAAAAATTACTTCATGAATACATCAAGCCTTATTTTTAATGATTCAACACAAAGGAAAACACAAACAGATAGAACATGGTGACAGGAACTCAACAATCACATTCCAGCCTAGTAAAGGAAAAATCAACAGCTTCAAACATGAGTACATAAAAAATTATAAAAAAGAACAAAGAAAACATCGCCAAAAATAACTTATTCTCAATTACTTCGACAAAATCTCAGAATGGAAACAGATGCAACAACACATAGGGTCTCAAGAACAATATTGTGAATACATTACAGAGACGAGAAATCTTACATGAACCATACAAGAAAGATGAAGGAGTCAATGGACGAAGAAAGATAGAAAA